TCTGTACCGTTCTTATTTCCAGTTTCTGCGCCGCGATAGGAACGGCAGTCTTCTACCGAGGAGGCCCACCGAGCACATACCAAAATATAATCAATCTGGTGTGCAGTTCGACCATCATTTGAGTACCACGTGAGCAGGTGTTTTCTAGGGTGCTGGAAACGGGTGTTGGTCACGACCAGTTGGTTAAGGTCAGCAAATGTGATTAGGCGTTCGCCATTTTCGCAACGTTGACCAAGGCCGAACTTTCCAAGAACATGCCGAGTATGTTCTTCTGACGGACCAGTGCGTGCGTTCCAGTCCCCTGCGATGACGAGGATGTCGCGTCTCGGACTGCGATTCACTGCGTCTTGAACTTGGTTGTAGAAGTCGCCCTTGATGGGCTCTTCCACATGTAGCGTTGGAGCATATACAGCGATGATATTCAGGTTAAACGGCTTTCCTCTGAAGCGCGCTATGGTAATCCTGGGAGAGATTGGTTCCCAGGAAATCATGGTATTGTTAGCCCGGCCGCTCACGGCGATTGCTATCCCGTTTGTCAGTTGGGCCGCTGTGGTATAACCGGTAGGTTGCGTTGCTATGTGGTACTTTTATTAGTTTTGTGCCACAGATAGGTAATCGGACTTCGGACAGACAAGAGATGTCTACCTTGTGGTCGTGCAGTGATCACATCGTGACACACTGGCTTCCTGTGTCTAACAATGTTCTAACATTCCAGCAGGCTACATGGATGCTGGACCTGATGCATAGATGATTTGGGTTCCCAGCTTGCTCATTTGTCACCTCCAGCCACTGAGAGAGCTCAAGGCGCTTCGCTTCCCGGGAACGCCGTAGCATGAACGTGATGTACCCTTGTAAGACGATCCATGAAGAAACTTGGGAATGAGGTACTAAGTGACGTCCCCAGCGTCGCTCGGCTTTTGTTCGAGGGTGCACCTCTAACCCTTGCACAACCAAGTGCGACCTGCAGGGTGGGAGGGTAGAACTGTTGGTAGCCGGTGACGGTTCATCGCCTTTCGGATGGCTCTGCGCTAATCCAAGATTCCTAACGCGTCCGTGAGGTAGCATTCCTCAGTTTGTCCCACTCGTAAGAGTAGGCAGGTGGTAATGACCTTATTTGGTGGCGGGCCACATTCGCACACGTCGCGATGCTGTCAGCAGACATTTATGGCATTTTAACAGGATATCGGTTGCCGAAAACCCCACCACGTCCTCTAGCATCGCCGCTGATCGTCCGCGACCGACTTTTCAGTGAGGTAGCCTCACCTATTCACCGGTAACCACCAAGGTGGCCGTTCTCCTATCCTGAAGAGGCGCTCGGTAGCACTCAGCTGTGTTATCCGTAGACAGTTCCATGTCTTCGGGCGCAAATCATTCTGCTAGAATGAAGCAATTTCACTAGTATTTTCATTTGTTTGGCATAATTTTGTTAATGATGGAGATGGATACAGGGTAAAAGATATTTTCCGTTTAATCTGATGGGCAAAACCTGGGACTAAATCAGTAGCGTACCTATCGAGCCACAAATCAGCTCGGAAATAGTTGACCACCCTATTCGTTTCACACATCGGTAACCTTCTTGAGACGAACTGATCTAATGGATATTTTGTCCCGGTAAAATTTATATCCTACCGCATACGTTCTGGCAACCTATAATAGCCGGGGAATCTGGGTATTCTTCTAGGGACTTACCACTGGTTGGTTTGCCCGGAGAGGTGATGAAATTTGCATATTCGAGCCGATCGGCCAGCTTCTTTTCTGTAAAAAAAATACCGTGATGAACTTATTATTTAAAGAAAGAAAAACAAGGTCCCACTGAACAAAGGAAATCCGAACGAAAAACCACAAAATAAATGGAAGGATGAATGCAACCCATCAAACGGATTTGGGAAAGTAATTGCCGTTCCTATGAAGTACCGTTGATGAAGAGCAAGTCGACTGATGTACAAACAAAACTATTTAACACATTTAATCGGGGTTCACAATTCCGTAAATCGCCAATTAAGCTGATCCTGAGGTCCTAAGCCGGAAAGGATTCTCACCACTTCGTACCAGGTCATAAAACTGGCCACTATTAAACGTCTTCTGATCCATACGTGCACACACACGTGTGTATGTGTATGGCTCCAGACTGGGTACCGAACAAACCACAATACATCAGGTTGCATAACAAAGAAATCAGTTCACGATGTGCTCGTAGGTCGCATACTGCCAGATCACCTGCGACTTGGATTGTAGGTTCATCAAAACAAGTAAACGAATCCCGTGAACTTCGGAAGCACTTCCTCCGTTGTTCAGAACACTAGATTGAGGAAATCGAGAAATTCACGTTGATCAATCGTATCGAGATTACACGCCTGTCAAACGAACAACTCAATGGTCAAACTGTCGTGTGTGTGCGTCGGATCACATCTGGAACCGGTACGTTTGTTGATTACATTGATTCGCTTTGTTTGCTGTTCTTGCTGTGCATGAACACATCGTTAAATCGTCTGCCGCTACAAGGGGAGCTGCGCACTAATCGATGGGGTTTATTGGCTACTGGTGATGATGCTGATGTACAAGAACAACTGTACTTTGCCCATGTGCAGCGATCGGGAGTCTATTTTTTATGCGAACCGCGTGCGTAAAAGAACAACCAGTTCTGATAAGATCAACACCGGAAATTCTTCATCACTTCAAATATTATTTGAATCCGACGAACGGTAATACGCGCTAATGACAAACAAACGGAGTAGTTGTGTGTGTACTGTATGATATCATTGGCTGAAACAAGCACAATACTTACATGATCCGAACGAACTTTCCTCAACTTCTTCAGCTAGGAGAAAGAAAGGGAGAAGAGAGATAATGTACTATGAACAAGTGTTAGAAGCGGAGCTGGTGAACTCTCGTGTGTGCGGATTGCTGGGAGAACATGTGATTCAGTTCTGCGTCAATAGACTCAGCAGGCTCGCTGAAACATGTGAGTTGTGTGGCTGACCCCGTGGAGTATCCGGATTACTTAAAACACTATTGGCAACAGGGTTCAGGCAAATTTTGACAAACGACATATCAGCTTGGAACAAAATAGAACAAATAGTCAACAGAACAATGGTACATAGAAGCTATTAGTAAACTCTGCTCCAAAAGTATTCGCCTACTCTATATTCAATAATCCGTCATTAGTTATTTATTGAGGTATTCCATTTAATAGCCAACAGCGAGCGCACAGACACAAAGTTACCACATTTAATATTTACCAAGAGAACGGGGAATCAACCAATTGCCAAGAACTAAAACCAATAAAATATGGTGGAAAAAGAACTTGGAGGGTGTTATAATGAGGATTTCTTGAAATTGAAAATATCGGTACTTCAACAACGAAACATGTATGTGTATTTATCGTAGCCACGAACCACTTCGATGTAATACGCTCACAATAAACAAACAACCAATTGTAAATCCGTGATAAATATGACGTTTCACTGGGATTGGTTCAGAAACACGAAATCGGTCAGAGTTTGGTTTCCCTCGCTTTGCTCAGCGTTACGGTTTATTGCTAAGTAGAGATGTCTCAATTCTGAAGCAGATTTGGGGAGTAAGCGAAATAGAAAGGAATAGGGAGGGATAAGACAATATCTTTTGTGAATTTCTAATTCATCGGAAGGACAGATTTTTCAAGTCCAAATTGAGATTTTTGTGCAGTTCACTGTTGTAAGTACGAGTCAAATTCCAGAAATGGCTCCAATCTTTACGAACAGTAAACTCTCTACTCCTCGATATCGCCGATATGGGTTATTGTTATGGTATGACTGATTTTATTATTTAACAAAACCAGTCTGTCACCACTAAGAAGGAGATTTCTGTGACAACGTTTCCAGATTCTTGGAAGGAGTTTTTCAAGCGGATTAAATTGGTTTCTCAAAACCACATGCTTTTTATCCTCCGACTCCAGCAGCGCAAGCAATGGTTTCTGATGTGATCATGTGACTTATTCAATTAGCGTAGGTTGGTTTGGTAGCAAGCATTCGCCTATGACGAACCGTATGATTTTGTACTGATTCACGCCCAGACTTGTCAGTTTTGGAAATGAATATACTTTAAAGTCGTCAAAAAATTCATTTATAACTGAACGCTGAAAACAGTGCACAGGTCAAGATGAACCAAAATCCGTAAAAAAAGACGCATAGCAGCGTATTGAGACAAAGAACGTCGGAATATTTTGCCACAATTGGTGATTTTATTTCGGGTTGCTTTGCGGTATCTATCCGAGCTTAAACATCTGTGTCATCAAACAGTGATCATCCAGTCTGTGTTCCCATGTCCAGGAGCGACTAATCTTTCAGTAACTACACATCTGTGCAAATAATGCACAAAAAGGTATTTGGTCTACAAAAGTGGATAAAGTTGTTTCCTATGAGGACTGTTCATTTCACTTGATTGCTACATCTATACCAAGTTGCTGGTTGAATTTGACCACGCCACTACTGCTGAAATCAGGCCAGGAAGCCAGATCTCACCATTTGGGGCTCACTAACGTACCTTTCCAAGACCGCGCTATCACAAGCTGCACGGATAAGCATACACTGCGAACTATTTCTAACACGAGGTGATCAACAGCACAATGATTCCAAGATTTTCCAGTAATACATATCATGCCATGATATGACATGTTTAGTCAATTTCTGACCACTTAATCTCTTATTTCTGACTTGGACATTTTTCGTTTATTGTTTGTGTGAATTTGCAGATATCCGATTGAGTATCGTGTGTTCTTGTGTGGGAGTTTCGTCTTTTACCCGAAACATTCCAATGCATCTGTGTGCGATGGAGGTTGGTTTTGTCCTTGCGGGAAGAACACATCAATAGTGTATACTAATTTTGTGTCACTGCCAGGGCTCAAACCACAAAATCTCAGGGTTGGGCATCGAAACCTTTATTGCTTAGCTTCACTATCGAGAGCTAACACCTTGAGATCACAGACATAATGACGATCTGTTTATTTTTGACGCTGCCCGAATGAATTTACAAACATTAGGGTCTGTGTGTTCTGCAACATAATCATAATAATGATATCTTTACTTAAATTAAATAAGCATCTATACAAAGAATTTTCAGGAAAAGGATGAACTGCAGCTATCTAGGCGGTGGGTTCAAGCACGGAACGCAAAAATCGGACTACATCGGTGCTGAGATTCGAAAATTCGACTTCCGGTTTGACGTGACGGCCCTTTGAGTCATTTGATCAACCGATCTTCCCTTTTAGAACGGTGCTGTGCATTTTTTTAAAGAATGACATTTCATTTTTCTGTGTTCGGTGTACAGATATGCGCAATAAGTACACGCGTTCTGCATGTATCAGCCGATTAGGCTATTCACAAATTTTGCTAACTTTGGTCTCCGAAAGCAGACAGATTCGATAGGGAACATACGTGGAGAAAGTTATTCAAAGGACTAAATACAGAATCCGCTAATCGTCTACCATTGCTTGGCCTCAATTGAAACACGCTAAACCTAGAATCAGGCAATCACGATTCGCCTTGAGATGACCTGGGACAACTGACTGATAGAGATCATTGTACATGAGATTCAATGCAATACTGTCTAACTTTCCTATAATTATATGTATCGGTAAACTAAAACAACCCGAAAGATCGTGATGGAATGTCATTTTGCTGAGACTATCAAAACGCAACAAAAGAACAACGATGGTGGGATTGTAAGCTAATCCGTTTGGCAAGACGACCGGTAGAATCATTATTCCAACTGAGTTTCATTATTCTGGTTCCGAATGTGACCTAGTATTGCACGGAGGGGCCAATATAAGGGAGAAGTAAATCACAACCTTTATCCCGAAACAACCCGAACTAACTGGCACGTCTGTGAAGCAATGCGACCGGAATGTGAATGTGAACATCATCGGGCTTTATCCTAACCCACGTCTCGTTACAATCGAGATGGTAAACCTTCTGGTTAAATCATATACGCATCACCGGAAATTTCGAAAAAAGAATAAGGCATTTGAATGCCGTATTCTATTCAGTGAGTGCATGTAGTCGGTCAGGATTGTGAATTGATTTTGAAAACGCTCACAAATAAACTACCATTTGATTTTAACGCTAAAAAATCCTCCTATGTGCACGGGTGGAAAAAAACGCAAAACAAATGTTCGGCTGTATCGACTGCATATGCATACAGAGAAGGAGAAACGAAACGGAAGTGGATGTTCCGCTTACTTTTCGAGCGAACCGACTGAAACCAGCCCGCCCACGACTTAGGAAATCGGCTAAATTGGAGCGAGGCGGACCAGACACGCGGCTAATCGCGTCCTCGAAATCGTCCGGTGGAATCATGCCCAGGTCTGAGTTCAGTAGAGCTACTCGAGACTCGAAAAACTGCAAACGAAGTAATTGAGACCAGTGAAGAAACGGAAGAAAATAATAATATACAAAACATGACATATGTGAGAAACAAACATGAGAAACTGACTAATGATTTGTGCATGTATGATCGATAGTTTAGCATAAAGGATACGCCTGGACATTTATGTTTTGAGATTTCGGGTTAACATGTTCACTACACAGCCCCTCAGTACTGAGTGATTTACAGAGAACTGACTTAAGTTCAGTAGATCAAACTGAGAGAAAAGCCTGAATGTACTGATCAGTACAAGTACAAGAGATGGAATGCAATCAAGAGCAACCTACACCCAACCGTAAACTCAAAGTGACCGAAAGTAACACAGGGGAGAAGCGAAAGCTACATCAAGATTCACGTATAGACCACGAGAAACCGATTTGACAAACAAAGAAAAAAGCATGAGCTGATTGGTACAGTGGTAACACACACGCATTCCACGTGACGGATTCGGAGTTTAAAACCCGGAGGGGACGGTGGGCATGCAATAGTGATGAGATCTAATAAGAGCAAAATTCGAGTCAAATGCTTCCGAAATTATGATTGATTGGATGAATTGAGGATGGTTCGTGAAGATGAAATCCAAAGGAAAGTCAACTCAAATCAAAAACAAGGAAAAATTTCACCAATATATAAAGATGGCCGTCGTAGTGACCCGGTTAGGTTCCGACCCATCACTCCTCTCCCAGTATTATTCAAAGTCATTGAAATCATTGCTGCAGACAATGTGATGTCACTGAGAAAAATACAATGTATCATATCTAGTGCAACATGAGGCTCGTCGCTGCTGATTCGAGAAAAATGGACAAAAACAGCGGATCAAAGGTGACGAAATGGACGCAGTGCACCTCGACTTTGAAAAGGCATTTCACCGGGCGAATCACAAAATACTGCTGAGGAAACTTCACTTATTATGCTACCTAGCCTGGCTACGAAACGCTCACAAACAACAGTTCCAGCTCGGAAAACACACCAGCACCAACAGTTTTCGGTTTGTGGACCCATTAACCACACACTTCTGTGTGTCAGTTTTGGTTGCTATCTTTTGGCCGCTTATTTGGATGAAGCAATAAAAAAATACAGGAGTATTGAAAAATGGAGTCGAAGAGAAAATGGAAAGCTTCAGCCAACACCAACATGGCAAAGTATTTGGAGGCGAGTATGTAAAGAACAACGGCCACCAGTTCTCACGGGCACGTTATTTGTGGTGGGTCACTAATCAAACCGAAAGGCGTATGAACCACAGAAGTGGTTACCAGATGCCACAACCAGACAATCATGATGCCCCACCATGCCCATATAGATGTATAAGGGCTAGAGATGGAGTCTTAAAGAAAAGCCAATTGATTCTGGGGGCATCTTTTCGTACCACATTCGTAAAACCCCTCATGAACTCTGAGACCAGTCAGACTCACAAACATGCTACGGCGTCCCAGGAGGGGACTCGACCTACTTTCACCCAGTTACTGAGATGTCCAAGAAGATAGTTGGGAAAGTCACTTTGGAACTCTTTTAGACACTGAAAATCAGAGCATTACTCAGTGCTACCTGTAAGATTGCAAACTAGGCATAGCGCGGCCATCACAGGTGAAAATTACAGGTTTCGGGATTGAAGGAATCAAAGTACATTGAGATCAAACCATTTACTGGCCATATCACAGGAGACCGGCTAACAAGTTCGGGTTATAGTAAGTTGCTTTCGCGATCAAATACTGTGCTAGCAGCGTACAGATCACCTGGGAACCCATCTCCCCTGGAGGGAACTCGGTAGACTTGACGGTCATGGCTGTATGCTCCCCAACACTGTCGGCTGGTAACCCCATTAAGAACGAATTCTACTATCGGCTTCAAACTGTCGTCATCCACACCCATAGAAGCGACATAGTTTTAACTGCAAGAGACTGGAATGTCCGTGCTGAGTCACCGGATGATGAAACCCAGCAAATTATGGGGAGGTTTGGAATTGACCACAGAACCAAGAATGGTAAACAAACTATTCAGGTTTGCTGACTCTAATCGGTTCGTGACTCTCATCACACGCTTCCAGTATCCAGGGTGACATGTTAAACGCATCAGATCGGAAATATTCTAGTTCGATCTCGCTTGGTATCCGAGGTTAAAGGCCCTAGAAGCTGGGGATCTAAATGGCACCGATCTTACATCTGTACGCGCTCGCCTCAAAATACATCGGAAAACTTAATAAAAACCTCGATGAGGCCGCTCACGATAACCAGGAAAGAGCACAGATTCCGTTGAACGCAGTGAGGATAACAAATGAACACGAATATGCCAGTCAACAGCGGGATGAACGAGCAGTGGACAGTGACTAATGTATACACCCAAGAAGCTGTGCTGCAATATTTATGAAAAGTGAAACATTTTACAGATTTCCGAAGAACCGCTTCACCTACCTAAGAAAATAAGCGAGGCCAAAATTAACAACCCCTCGAAGTCGACGAGAAGCTACTTTCTCCGCCAGCATGGACAAGAAAAAGTGGTGCTCAAACAAAATGAAGGTCAGTACGGTGGACAATTCGTAAAGCTCCCCCGCATCACTTACGTCATTTCACAGAAAAAATCTCCAACAGATAAATTGTTACGCAACCTCGGGGACTATATTATACCAGGAAACGAAGAAAAATTGTTGAGGTGGGTCGAACACTTCAACTAGAAAACAAATCGCACGACCAGAAAGTTTAATCACCCAGTGACAGTGGGAAACCATAGGCAATGAACTGCGAGGCACCACAGCAGTCAAAGGAGATAAGGAACAACTGGGTCCGGTCTTTGAAGGTGGAATAATAACTCGCCTTCACTCTGTACAAACCTTGCCACTGAATGCTACACATGCGCAGACATCGTCAGAGATACCAATAAAACCGGCTCATCCTCACACAGGAGTAAAACAATTACCACTAAAAATGAGATAACAACGAATGAATACATTTGTGATGCAAGCGGATTACGAGGATGATGGATAAAGAAAAATTGTCTAATTTCGGCACAAGTATCTGTTTATGTTTTCCATTTATTTACTTCCTTTGAATTAAATGCATATTTGACCAAACATTTTTTCGAAGTGGAAAGGCAGTCTATCAAACGGTTGTTACGAGATCCATAGACAAGGAGATATTTCCGGGAAGTTACCTATTTCGAACGAATGGCCTCCGGGGTGATAAGCTTATGAATTTAATAGCTTGAAAACCATCAACCAATCTAGTACAGCCACTAAATCAGCTTCAGGGCAGTTAACTTCGCGTTCTAACCAGTTTACAAGGGTTGTACAACAAGCCCACCTGGATGACCATTTGCGACTGAAGGAGCTCACGCAGATACGCCTGGCATTCACGACCCCGGGAAGCCACAAAAGTGTCACGATTAAAATGCCAGTGACCAGGACGTGGTCGATCAAACGCCCATGACGCCGATTCATCCGAGGACGGTCCGTACCCGATAAAGGAAGTCGATTCGGTGTATTGCATCGCCTCCCGATAACCACCTTAAAAAGCATAAAACAACAAACAAGTGATGAAAAACCATAAAGGAAACAATCAACTAAGGAACATTCCACAAACCCTGTTTTGTGTGTGAATTCGCGTGAATTTGACCGAAAAACACATTCAATCGACAGCACAATAAGCTTCAATGTTGGTCACTGATCGTGTAGTTCAAGGTTAAGGGTCTCAGATCCCTACCCAGAGGTTTATGGTTAAAGTTTTCCCGGTTATCCCTATCAAAAACTAATCAGAATGAGAATTTTGTAGTTGCAGTGCGAATGGTTATGCAAGCGACCTTGTGTGAATAACCACACTTCTGCTCATCCAACGGGGTCTAAAGGCCAAACGTGACAGAATCGAAACCTAGTCGCGCTTGCCAGTTAGTGTGGCACTCATACGTGCAATCTCCAAACAGTGCACCCAGTACACCACATTGCAGTGATTTAATTTCAACACAGCTCTCGGGTCATCTGACTTGTGACAGGACTGGAGCTCTCGCAAATGACAAAATCTGTGAATTATCATTCACTTCATTGGATAAAATCAGTGATCATGTTAAAACAGTTTCCCCTTAAAAATGCACCACAGAGATTTTGCGTTGGACAGTTGTGTTTTGAGGATTTTCTCGCGAGTTCTAGTGCTTCACTCATTCATTCTAAATGATCAGTTTGCCTTTTGTGATCTTACCCTGTGCTACTATACATCATTAATAGGGTAAAAAGTCCCATATTTTCATTCAGCATCCATACAGTGGTAAAAGAAATTGTGAATCCTAGACTGCTCTTTAATTCGTCAAGCAAAATTTGAGTTCTGCCGGCAATCACACAGGACAGGAAGCCTTCGTCTGGGGATTGAACAAGCGTGGTCGTGCGTCAGTCACATTCTTGGACTATAATGAAAGCCTGATGGTAACTTTAGAGTTACGCTCTGGATAGGTGAGGAAACATATCGCTAGCACGAGCATAACACCCACTCATACTGATAGTGCGGTGTGTTCGAAACGTTTCCAAACGCGTTTTTTTAGTTTATTTTAAGCCGTGAAAACCGTATTCCGAAAATGTTTCCTTCAATGAATTTCAGTGGGCAGCCTAGGGCAAACTTTGGTTCAGTTATCAATATGAAACTGAACTGGATCTACGCATATCCATACATTTTTCGGCAAAGGAAAAGTCTTCCTCCCTCCAAGGCCTGAAATAAACTATGATCCTATGGCTACACATCAACGTTCAGAACGTTACAGGCTAGTCAAATGCATTTGTACTTCTATTTGATACGGTTTACCGTTGCATGAGCAGAGACCATGGGATCTATTATAAAGGTCAGACAGATGCGTACTTTCTACTGCGACAGTCCACATGTTCAGCTGTTATTTTGAGTTCATGTGATACTCACAAAGGTGTGTCAAGCGTGCCGTCGGAATGTGGAAATTAGGAAAGTCACGCCCCGAGATTGACAGGTATTTCGGTGATTCAAGACAGGTAGTGAGTAGATGAATCGATCGGCTAAAGGGTACAGGCGATTATGAACTATGTCCCAGGGAACAGAAGAGCACGCAAGGGTGATTCTGGGGCTTTCAGGCGCTTACTTATAGCGTTGCTATTGGAAATTTTTCTGAGCTGGAAATATTGTTTGCAGATGGTTCTTACCCATGCTAGTGAGACTTCGGGGAACTCACGAGTTCAAGCGGTCCCGTACAATACTGATGATCGGTAACGTACTACGCTACCCAGCTTCCACTCACACTGTCTTTTCGATTCAATGAGCACGAATTTCGAGAGAGGGGGTGCATTCCTGATTCCGTGTTGGCTAAACGTTACCGACGGATGCGTTTGGAGAGGTCAGTAAGGTATGTGCGTATGTGTGCGTCGAGAGACAAACATAAGAAATCTATCATTTAGACCGATGGATCAGTATTATCTCCATTCAAACATGATCCATCTGAGAAATAATAAAAGTGATATGATGACAGCGAAAGTGCGGCACCATAGGAGTTTGGTACAAGCCTGTGGAATCAATTGGTAGGAAGGTCAAAGCCAATAGTCCTGGATCGCATCGTTGATGAGCAATTTTACCTGAAAGTCCTGATGCAACGCAACTTGTCAGCGTTGATTACAACTACGGAAGCGATTTTTCAGTACGACCAGCCTGCATACCGTTCTCTTACTGCAAATGAGCTTCATGCGCCGTAAGCCACTCTTACCAAGTACCTGCTCCTATCCATCGTATTTATGGCTGTAGTTCATCGTTTTTCCAGAGAATCAGTCTGTGAAACGCCCCTCTTCTTCTCGACGTTATATCCTTTACCATAATCCTCAAGTTTTAAAACACAGAAGCAGCAGGTTGCTGTGACATAACTGTTCCCATCACTCACCACATATGCATTGTACATCTTGAGATTATATATGGACTTGATCTCCTCAACCGTAATGCATGATGTAATGAGAAATCTTCTAAACAGTTATTTGTACCTCTTCAGTTTCAGGTCAGTTTTTACAACCATTAACCATGAATTTTTATGCGGCGGTTTTGGTTGCTGTCTTTTGGTTACCCACTAGAATAAAATAGCAGAAGGAAGATTGGGATGTTGGGAATGAATTCAAGGGGAAGATAAGTATTTCATATAGATTTGGGGTTACAAGAATATTGAGTAGATGCACGAACGCAAACGTTTGCGATACACAGCCATACCACTCAGTGTCTCTAACCACCGATTCAGTTCACTTCAGTTTGAACAACCATCAACCATGCACTTTTGTGCGCCGGTTTACGTTGCTGTCTTTGGGCTGCTCATTTTGATGAACATGAGGAGAAAGACAGGAAGGTTGCAAGTAGAGTCAAACAGAAAATGGAGAATTTCAGTGGTCTAAGGTTGCAAAGAAATTGAGAAGCACGAACGCCACTGTTTACGACACTCAGCCATATCACTCAGTGTCTCTAACCATCAGTTACGATCATCCCGAGGTCCCCAACCGGGGAACCTAACGTGACCTAAGTAACCCAAACTCCTGGTTAGGGATTTCACACTCTCGTGACAGGTCTTAGTTTGCCCGCACTTTGCTTATTCCAACCACTACCTGCCTCGGCGAACATCACTCGCAGTGGAACCTGTCTGCCGACATGCGTCACACATGCTCCTAACCAAAGTAACCTATGGAGATCGAACATTTGCTCCAGTGGGCGACCGCAGTTACCTAAAACTCTAAGCCTAATCTCAGCATTGCTTGTCAGGTTGTTTCACAAGATTCGTAACATGCTGCGTAAACAGCGGTGTTCAAGCAGCGACAGTCGATTGTTATCCTGCCTCCCTAATGGTCAAGTTTCTGCACCGTATGGGAGAACAGGCCGAACTGCCGCAGCATACACTCAACCCTTAACAGACAGCCGGATGTCACGACGGCGCCACAGGTGTCTCCAGTTGGTAATAGCCAACCTTCTGTATGCGAGTTGACAATTCATCCGTGATGTGTCCACCGGGTGAGATGTAGCTGCCCAAGTAACAAAGCTTATCCTCCCCAGTAGGGGTGAGGCTGGGTGCAGGACCAACCCAGTCTTGAAGTAACATTTTACACTTCCAAGGTGCAAAACGCGTATTGAACATCGCCACACTAGGACTCAAACTATCCAGAAAAGCTTGCAACTTACCTGGATCTTTATTTAGCAGTAGAACGTCGTCTGCCTACTCCAGATCGCAGAGTTTGCCATCAGAGAGCAAATTGATGCTACTCTCCTCGATCGAGGATAGGGCTGTCACCATGATCAAATCTATAGCAAAGTTAAAGAAGAAGGGTGTGAGAGGGAAACCCGGGCGTACACCACTTTCCGTGGTGAACTCGGGCAAAAAAGTGCCCTAGGTTCGAAAACGACTTCGGCTATTAGCATAAAGCGATCGTAAAATTGAAATTAACTTCTCGGGTACACCATTCAGGGAAAGACAACGTCAGGGCTTACAGTGGTCGACTGAGTCGAAAGCCACTTTTAAATGGACAAAAGCAGAGATGGTGGATCTACGAAATGAATGTCGATGCTCCAGAATTTGACGAAGTGTGAAGATGTGGTCAATGCAGCCTCGACCAGGTCTGAAACCAGCCTGGTTCTCACGCGTGCACCGTTCGCGTGCGGCAGACAGTCGGCGGAGTATGATGCCAGCGAGAAGTTTAGAGACGATGTTAAGTAAACTAATTCCTCTATGATTTTCACAGTGGGATCTGTCACCTTTCTTGTAAATCGGTATGATCCCTGATTCACACCATTCAGTTGGAACCCGTTCTTTCTCCCGCCGAGCCCAGCAGTTTTGTCAACTCCAAGACTAAGGCTGAGCCTCCATGCTTAAACGCCGATGGAAAAAGCCCACCTGGGCCAGAGGCCTTATGCCTTTTGAGATAACTTATTTCCCGAGATACCTCCATTTCAAATGGAGGACTAGCATCAACTGAGAGTAGTTGCATAGTCTAGGTGGGGGTGATAGGTCAGACGTCAATGAGGGCCAGTTGAACTGAGCCTTGAAATGTTCGGCCCAACGGTCAAGACGGCGTTGCTGATCGTGAATCAGTGGGTCATCGGATTTCCTAATTACCTCATGCCTAATTTCCTAGGGCCCGTATTCCTAATTAGATGGAAAAGATTGCGACTATTACTAACACCCGCAGCCTTCTCCATCTCTCTACAATTTTCTATCTACCACTTCCCGTGATCATTCCTCAGACTCTTGATGAACTGGCGTATGAGGGATTTGCGCGTTTTGTCGTATGTGGCATCCGGAAGGAGGATTCTGTGGGCGTCCAGCAGGGCAGCCGAGGTCGATGAGATCCATCGTTTATGTTTTGAGCTTGCGCCAGAGTCCGACGTTGTTTTTATTGATATTTGCATAGCTTCCTTGATTTGCTTTCAATGTTTATTGAGTCCTTCGACTGGTGGTTGAACTGAGGCGATCAGGGAGCTCCGCTTCAAAGGCAGATTTGCAGCAATCGCTGACACTGTATCGTGGTTATCCGTTGTTGGTGGCTTTCTTGCGTTTGTTTGCCAGGGGTAAGGAGAATTTGGCTCGTAACAAGGCGTGGTCTTCATCCACAGGGGTTGACCAGTAAGAGCGGCAGTCTTAAGTCGATTCCCTCCAGCGGGAACTTATGGCGATGTGATCGATTTGGGTCCAGCGCTGTGAAGCGGTTGGCGGTTTTCGTGTAAGGTGGTGTCGTTTCTTGTGCGAGAAGTTGGTGCTTGACAGGAACAGTCCATGGTCCGTGCAGAGTTGAGGTAGGCGGTCGCCGTTGTCCGTCCGGTTGGCTGGGATTGCATGTCGTCCGAAAAGAAGCCTTTCGTCTAGGGATCCCATTTAAGCATTGAAGTCGCCGGAGACTACCACAATGTCCGTTGACCGAGCCCTTTGGAGTAGTTGAAAGAGGTCCTTGTAGAATTCATCCTTGATTTCAGGTGTACTGCAGTAGGTCGATGCATACACCGATACGATGAACAGGCATCGACGCTGCGTTCTGTAGCTGTTGACCCGTGCTGAACCGTTGAGACGTACAGCGCACAGTCGGCTACTGACTGGGATCCAGTCAAGAAGCGAGTGCTCGCCTTGGCACTCAGGGCAATCCCGACACCAGCAACACCGCGAGCTTTAGATGCCGAATCGCCTGACACACGGAGAGTGAAATTTGAGGTTGAGGCTGTATCCGGAGAACACAGAGATAATGAAAGTGGGGTCTTGTATGCGTGTTTCGGAGACACAGCATACACCTAAATGGAAAGTTTCAAGGGTTCTAGCTAAGGCAGCATTTGACCGATCTGAGAGAGTGTGCGAACATCGAACGCAGCTAACTGAAAAAGGAACTTTGGCTTTAAAAATCCTATAACTTCTAATTGTCCGGCCTTTCTTGTAAAACGCTGAGTGATATCTGATGGGTCTTGTAAATAGGAGAACTAGACAGAAGGGAAAGATGGTTTTCCAAATGGGAGCCTAAGACTTTAGGGCACGGCATACTTCCGCGGCAGCCCATACCGATGAACGGGCTTTTCCTTGGGAACCCTAACCGGAGCCTTTGACTCAAAAGTCTGACCCACACGGCAGTGGAGGCGTAAATCCAACGCGTGGCATCTTCTAGAGACCTGTCACGCAAGGCCTTCGGGTTTCGGTTCAGCGTGCTGTTCGATGGTGCATTATCAGTTCGCTTGCGGAATTGGCCCTCAGCCTCATGCACCCAATGGGACAAGCGGAATGTGGACGGGACAGCACCTTATTGGCTAGGGGCTGCCCAGCTTGGGCGGGCGGTAGCTGTTCAATGAAGTGCAAAGACTTCTCTCACCGTCGACAGGAAGCCCCACGTACCCTGCTCCTACGTTATTCTAGCGGGGTTTTTCGATCGGTAAACTGTCCCTCATCGTGTTTATTTGCTGGAGTGACCTCTCCCGGGGGGCTGTGGATAGAAGAAGGAAGCCAGGAGATGCTCAATCAGCTGGCTTTGTGAGAGTGAGCTTTGTCTGGCCTCTACCCGTTGACCATTCAGGCATGATTAAATCTACGGCTGTGAAAAGCCATCCTGTATAGCTCGCACGGGTGATGGAGGCACGCAAGCTGCTACACAACGTACAGTACAGTCTCGTCTTGGTGGTCTCTAACCACCGGTTACCATAACCTCAAGGTTCCCATTCAAGGAACCTAACGGGACCTATGTGATCCGGTGTCCCAGTTAGGGTTTTCATATCCTCATGCCAGGTCTTAGTTTGGCCATTTCCCATGGGCTATCTGACTCGGCAAACATCACTCGCCGCGGTCACCTATTTAGTGACATGCGCAATACAAGCCCCAATCAGCGTAGTTTATGAAGATCGACTACTTGCTCCAGTGGATGATCGCGATTACCTAAAACGCCACGTCTAACTTCAGCATTGCTCGTTAGGTTTCCCCACCAGACTCGTGCAATGCAACATAGACAGCGGTGTTCGAACACCGACTATTTGTTTTTATCCTGTTCCCGTAGTGGCCAAGTCTCTGCACTGGTCGAAATGCTGCAGCATGTACCTGAACCTTCGCAGACAGCCGGATGTCGCGACGGCACCACACATGCCTCAAGTTGGCAAATGTCAATCTAGCCTTGCGTTTGCGTGCCGACATTTCATCTGTGACGCATCCACCAAGCAAGATATAGCTACCCAAATCGCAAAATTTGGCTACTTCCTCTACTGCTTCCCCAGGCTCATCGATTACGGTCTCACTGCAGTTGAATGCAAGTTCGCATGTTACCGAGCAATTGCTGAGTCCCAAATTACTTCTCATGACAGTGACATATCTTCTCACACCAGATTCGTCACCGGAGCCGACGAATTCTACATTACTTCATAACTTTGTAAGGAAAAAAGACTGAACAAATGAACAAAACTTGCTCATGCATGCATGCATGCATGTATGTATGTATGTATGTATGTATGTATGTATGTATGTATGTATGTATGTATGTATGTATGTATGTATGTATGTAT